CCCTTCTGTCAATGACGAGACACATCTAGATTCCTCTGGAATCTCTGAAGCAGAGAGCTCTGCCTCGATGCAAACGGATGAAAACCAGCGCCGAGGAAATTGTAACGCGTCACGTGTCGCAAACGTCGCCGAGTTGAGGAAGTCGGATATAATCGGATAAATTAATACTTTTCTTTTTTTCGTCGAGCTTTCGTTACCAAGGTGTGAAGAAGGATCGATCGGTTATCGCGGCTTTCGGCCGTTCGGTCGTGTGAATGACACCGCGATGCATGTGACACGACGCGCTGGCTGTTTTTTACTCGGGACAATGTAATTCTTAGATTTCCTCCTCCTCGACGATCGGCAGGCTGCTCTGATGCACCAGAGGACTTGTTCTCGCGGTGAAGGCCATCACCCAGTAATCCAGCTCCTTCTTGTTCTCCACGAGGAAGGTTAACGCGATCGGCGAGTCGAAGCCTTTCTGCCTAACCAGAAATCCTTCCTCACCGTAGCGTTCGATCATCGTGTTTCTCAAGTTCAACACGCCCAAAGGTCTGCACACCTTTTTCTGGGGGTAAATTACGGCGAAGTGCTCGACACTCGTCCGGTAGACCTTCACTTGCACGCCTTGACGATGACCATTTGGGCCGACCAAGGTCATGTAACCGCTCATGTTCTCGGTGTTCCAGCAAGAATCCACGTTCGAGTCCTTCAAGCTCGACTGGTTGAATTGCAGGAAGTTTGTATGCATCGCTACGTCGGCTGGCATGTCGCCTTTTTGATTTCTCTTGTTTGTAATCTTTGGTACTTTTTCGTGTTCTGTTTGCTGCGGATCCGGCCAGACAGACGGCGGACAGATCGGTCGTTGATCGGGAAAAGTTCACGACGATCGGCAGTGTATGTATGTAGATGCGAGTGAATTTGGAGCGCACCGGAGTCAACGACTCGCGTCAATGTAACCTTTCTCTACGCCACAGAGCAGAAGATAACACCGTTTTACCAAGCTCGCGGCACTGTTACTCGCGATGAACTGTCCGCGTGAACTTTCGCCACCTCTATTTATACAGGGTGTGCGTTTCGCAGAAGCGTACGCATGCGCGTTGCTATACGCGCAAGTGCTCTCAGCAGATATGAGCATCGCAAACGATAGCTATCGTTAGCACGGGTTATTATCATTCAAAATCGTCGACCACCGATACATCGTGGACGGAAATGATCGGCTTTCAGGAATAATTTTTCAATATACAATAATATATCGCATAATAGAAATAACGCGTGTTTTCTACAATTTCGCGACAATGGATATTAAGTACCATCGCTGTTCGTGCCTTTTTTCACGACGTTCTATTTCCTGTAAACAATGTTGGATTCTACATATGTCGCGACAAACCGATTCTAGAAAACGCAGTATCAAAAGTATTCTTACTCATTGCCATTAAATTTAATTTAATTTAAAATTTAACTTAATTTCAATTCAATTTAATTGGATTAGAAGCGAAATTTAGTTGTTGAAATTATGTACGTTAATGTACTAAATTCCTCTGATTTAAAAAATGAATCATCGTTTGATATTGATCGTGCCTTTTCATTTATTCCAATTTGCCACTTACCAAACATAACTAAGGATGTATAAAAACCATACCGAGAGTATTACATAACGCAAACGAGGCTGACCAAAACATATTTATTTGAAACGCACAATAGTGATTAATGGATATGCATTCTTAATTATTCTGCTTCGTGTTATGTATTGCAACAACAGTATCTCGATCGAGATCGTTTAGTGATGGGACGAATCGTGATACATCACTGACGTGATAAAATTTTCAGTAATAATTAAAGGAGCTGCTACAATGAAAGATTTGTCTTACTTTTCGCTAATTTAATCAACTCCAAATCAATGAAAGCCGAAACACTTTCTCGAGACGTTCTATGAATTCGCAGTATAATATTCGCAACGATAAATCTTCATTAAACTACCGAATACGAGATCTACATTTTTCTTGAACTCTAAGTTCTACAATTCGTTGAATCGTGCGTATTCCGTGTGGTATATAACTACGGCAAAAGTAAGATTCACGTCGAGCTTAATGCATATCATTATTTTGCTAGTGTGGCAAGATCTCTGGCGAACGGCCAAGTTTCTCGTGTCTCGCTTAGTTTTTGGAACGTACTTCCCTTAATTTAGAGGAGGAAGCGAAAACGCTCTGGCTTCCACACAGTGTGAATCAGAGTTCAGAACCCGTGTGTCCCTTTGCCAAAGAACCGGTCGGTACACTCATCGGTATTTATTAAGCGTCAGCCGTCCTCGTTCGTTCTGTCGAATAAATAATTTCCCCCCGTAAAATCCACGTAATCGTTTCTTCTCGACCAACTGTTTATTTTCTTCGCGGGCAATAAGTTGCAAAAGCAAGCCGGTTCCACGAAATTTCTACTTTTCAAGAGTACGGCAAAAGTAGTCTTCCGTGAAAAAGTCCGCGGCAGATGCAGATGCTGATTTCCACCCTTCGATTTCCACGGAAAAATTCCACAAATTGTGTCGAAAAAGATGAAAACTCTTATGTAAAAAATAAATACCTCCTTTTCTCATCTTTTTTTCTCTTGAACATTAAATTTTGTTGATATTTGAGAAATGTGCTTGATATAATATTTATTTAATACGTAACTTTCCTTTTATGTAAGAAAGAAAGTTCTAAGATGAGATTTAATTTAAATACTATAATCATGGCCATATTTAATTTCTAGAATTTTATTCAGCGATGTAAATTAATTACTTCTGTATTATCAATACAGTATTATGTAATAAAATGTATCATTAGTTTATTTTATAGTTTTAATTCGATTTGTATATAAATATATCTCGTCTGTGCCTATGTTTGTATCTTCGTATAAATCCCTGTCATACCGATCGTCAGTTAAACAGACATCGTCTGTATCCCTACCGAATTTTCAACAGATAAAGGTAGATTTACATCGAATCAATTGAATATTCAGCAATACTTATTGTTAAATAGGACAGAATCAAGTGTATTCTAATTCAAGGTATATTTAATTACCATTGAGAAGGATCCAGATTATTCCCTTTAAATTCTATAGTCCATGTTGTTCCATCTTTCATCCATCATCGTTTGGAAGTTGATAAATCTTTAACAAACTTATTTATCGAATTAGTAGTTTAAAAAATTTAACACAAATATACCATGCCACTAGAACAATCTCAAGTATTTGGGAAGGGTGTGAAAAAAAAGAAACAAATAATTAGCCAGAAGGGCTAATTATTTGAAGAATAATCAGTGTTCACTCAATACAAAACCGAACAATATAAACCGAGAGTGGAACATCTTTTTTGTTTCGCAATACTAGTTTATTAAAATCACACGTGAATTAGAAAATTTTTAAAATAAATCGCGAATATTTTCCATTGAAAAAACTGCCAAAGCTATGGTAGGAAATTTTATTTTTGCAACGATCGCAAATATTTAATTCATGTACTTGTATTGAAACATTCGCAACGCTAATTAGGAAAAATCCAATGTAAACGTGGTGAAGGCTGCTGATAATCATCTCTGTGCAGCTGTTTTAGCTGCATCAAGTGATTCAGTAACATACTTCAACAAAGGGACATACTTCAAAAATACCTTCCTTGGTGGAAGGAATTCGGGCATTTTATAAACGCAACACTATTTAAACAAACGCGTCTGTCAACGCAACACTAAGAAAATAATTGAAATTTTCAAATGTTGAGAATAATTTGATAAAAAAATATCTCAACACTAGCTGTCAACTTGAATTTTATAATATCTGTCTTGAATTTACTATGTCTAAAAAAAACTACTGCAATTCAATGAATTCAATAAAGTTTAATTCTACTTCAACACTATAAAATTAATTAAAATTTAACAAATTTCTAATTCAAATTTGTTTCTGATTCAATTTATAATAGAAAATATTAAAAAGAATAATTCGATATCTCGTAACAAGCAAGCACGATCGTTATCGTAACGCAACTCTAATGCAAACCGAAATAAATTTTCTCTCGCAGCTCTGATTAACACGACTCTAATGCAATCCGTGACTAATTTTTCAAAACACTAGTCAAAAACCACGATTTGCCCAATATAGTGGTAGGTTGACATCAACCAAAAAAAAAAAAAAAAAAAGATACTACTACTACTACTACTACTACTACATGCAACAAATTCTAAAAGTGAGCATAGTGACAAAGTAGTAAAGAGAATGACTTTCCATGCTTTAGATGGATTTCCCATCCAGAGGATGACAAGCCATTTGTTGCAGCCCTCTTGGTGGCAGTTTGCCGGGCCTCTTCTTTTCTTCGGGCGCGATGCCCGCTGAAACTTACATCTAAGCTCGAGTCTTTCTAATCGCAAACCAAAAAATAAAGATGAAATAATAATATAAATCGCGAAAACTGATCCCACTACA